ATCCCTCCTCCATCCCTCCTCCATCCCTCCTTGCTCAGGGATGAACCCAAACCTCTCTGTGCATCCACAGCTGCGAGGAACCGTGCAGCCTGCAGGAAGCTTCAACGATGACGGGGACGCGCAGGTGCTGAGGAAGGCGATGAAAGGCCTGGGTAAGTGGTGACCATGTGCCCAGCACCTTCCTGCTGCTCCTCAACAGCTTCTGGGGCAGAAAACCCACCCTGGTCCACAGAGGGTTGCATGAAAGCCCTGGGGGGAATAAAGAGATCGATAATAATAAACCTGCTGGAACAGGTCCAGAGGAAGCCACAAAAATTATCAGAGGAGCACCTCTCCTACGAAGAGAGGCTGAGAGAGTTGGGGTTGTTCAGCCTGGAGAAGAGAAGGCTCCAGGGAGACCTTATTGTAGCATTTCAGTATTTAAAGGGGCCTATAAGAAAGTTGGGGACAGACTTTTTAGCAGGGCCTGTAGTGATGGGACAAGGGGTGATGGTTTAAAACTAAAAGAGGGGAGAGTTACACTAGATAATTGGAAGAAATCTTTTACACTGAGGGTGGTGAAACACTGACACAAGTTGCCCAGAGAGGTGGTAGAAGCCCCATCCCTGGAAACATTCAAGGTCATGTTGGACGGGGCTCTGAGCAACCTGATCTGGTTGAAGATGTCCCTGCTCACTGCAGGTTGGACTAGATGGCCTTGAAAGGTCCCTTCCCACCCAAACCATTCGAGGATTCTGTGATTCTATGAAAGAGATGGTTTAGGAGCTGTGGGAGCTCTCTCTTCTCCACCTCCCCAGTTTGCAGGGGTGAGGGTGGCGATGTGCCCATGGTTGGGTGACACAGTGTGGCTCTGCTGGCTCTCCCCAGCATCACTGCTGTCATTGCAGGCACGGACGAAGGGGCCATCATCGAGGTGGTGACACAGAGGAGCAACGCCCAGAGGCAGCAGATCCTCAAGGCTTACAAGGCTCACTATGGCAGGGTACTGCTGCCCCCCCTCCCACCTTCCTCCTTCCTTCTGCCCACATCCCACCTCTCCCACGCAGAGATCTGCCCTCGCTGAAAAGAAATCCTGCCCAGGGAGCAGTGGGCAACCAGGACACCCCGATTTACCCCACCATGACTCCATGGAGGACAACCAAGTTGTCAAAGCAGCCTCTGGCTCTGGGTGCACCATCAGCCCGAGGGGAGGGTGTCCCTTCCCCTTCACTTGCCCCATCCTTGGTCCCACACTGAGGACTCCAGAGCCAGGATCTCCCCAAAGCCACCCTCCAAACTGTGACCTGAAACCTCCCTAAGGGCCTTCCCAGATGTCTCCCCCCTCCACACTCCCCTCCCCTGTTTTCTCCCTGGTGTTGCTTTGGCTGGTCAGTCCCTGTGGAAGGAGCCGGCGACTGAACCCTCAAACGCTTTTGCAGGACCTGATGGCAGACCTGAAATCTGAGCTGTCGGGCAGCTTGGCCAAGCTGATCCTCGGGCTCATGCTGACGCCGGCGCAGTACGATGCCAAGCAGCTGAGGAAGGCTGTGGAGGTAACTGCCACGCTGGTGGGGTTGGCTTCAGCACGTGAGGACAAGGTGGCTTTTGCTGTGGCTGTATCTGCACTGCTGGTGGCCCAGGGCTGAGTGCACCCCAGCATCACACACCCCCAGGTTCCCATCTCCTGTATGGAAGGAAAGCCGAGCGGAAAGCACTAGGAGAAAGATCTGGTTTGCACTCAAGGCTCAGTTTGGTCACTTTGCAGCCCAGCACGCTCTAGCCAGCTCGTACACAAAGCCTCTCCAGGAGATCTCCCACTGCAGAGCATCCCCACCTTGCAGCAGAAGCAGTACCCTGCCAGGCACAGGCAGCCACTGAAGAGCCAGAGTAGGGGCAAACCAGTGGCATGCACCACTATCCACCAGTTACACCAGTTGGGCCCCCACTAGCACCACACTTGAACACTTTCATGCTGGTTCCTACCAGCTCTTGGGGCCATTTGCTGGACATGGACTTTTGGCATGTGGTAGCCCTGGGGTTAGGGCAGCCCCTGCTTGCCTGGCACTGCTGGGGTGATGCTGCCGTGTCCCCAGCCAGTGCTGGCACCCACAGCTCCTCGCCGTGTCCCTTTCTTCCAGGGGGCTGGCACTGATGAGAGTGTTCTCATTGAAATCATGGCCACACGGAACAACCAGGAGATCATGGCTATCAACCAGGCCTATGAGGAAGGTATGGCATAAGAGGGATGTGGGGAGCACCCAGGTTCTGGGCATGGACCATGTTTAACCCTGTACAAGGCCTTTTCCAGAGCCCAGGGTACTTTTTTTGTCTCTGGATTGAGTCCATGGCTTGGTGCTGTGAAGGTCTATTAGTCCCTCCAGGCAAGAGCTCTTCCTCAGGTCCATCACCTTATTAAAGAGAAGTGGAAACCTGGGATGAACCTGGCAGGAGTCATCAAATTCATCCTGTGATAGCTCACACCCCCAGACTCTGCATTCCTCCTTCCCTTTCAGCCATGCCCCCTTCTCCCTAGGGAACAAGGTGATGCCAGCTCCAGGTTAAATCCTCAGCCTCTTCTCTCCTGGAGAGCCCAGATGGCTTTGTGGCTGGTCACCCTCAGCAGAGGATGGCCCCATGGGGGTCATGGGCACATGAGTCACTGGTGGGGTGGAAGCAGAGCTGCAGGGAGGGTGCAGGGCTCAGCTGTCCCCCTTCCCCACAGCCTACCACAAGCGCCTGGAAGATGACCTGAGCTCTGACACATCGGGGCATTTCAAGAGGATTCTTGTCTCCCTGGCTCTGGTAAGGGTGGCTCTCAAGCTGGGGACTGTCCCCTCCCTGACACAGGCAGCGGTGAGGGTCTGCGAGGATGGTGGCAATGGAGAAAGAGCATCACTGCCTGGCTGGGCAGCGCTGCTGGACCCTGTCTGCCACCCCTGCGCCTTGGGGGTCCTTTCTCCAGCTCCATGATTTTTGTATTGAACCCACAGGGCAACCGTGATGAAGGACCAGAGAATCTCACACAGGCACATGAAGATGCCAAGGTAAGAACCGAACTGGCAGTGCTGTTACAGGCTCTGTGTTTAAATAAAAATGAGGATGTTGCATCCCTTGGTCAGGAAATGACATCCTCAGGGAAGCAAAAGCTGCTGGGGCAGGGTCTCTGTAAGGGGGGGAGATGCCAGGTGAAGTAACATCCTTGCAGGTAAAGCTTCCCAGCCTGATTTCTGCTGCTCCATGCATGGGGAAGATGCAAACCATGAGCTCCCAGCCAGGGACTGCATCATTTCTTGTGCAGAGCTGCCACTTTGGGGTCCAGTAACACACACCGATGCTGAAATCTGGCACTTGAGCTTTAAGGGCAGCTTTGGGCTGGTCTGCAGGAGTCACCCACCTCTTTGTGCTGTGCATAGGGAAGCCCTGAAGCCTAAGCTGCTTTTCACACTGCCAGCACACCAGGATGCCAGCCCCGGCCTCCAAACCATTGCCTCCTCTTTACTGGGCTGTGGTGAGCCAGGACTGGAGGGGAAAGGCTGAGCATGGGGTGCTGGGGCCCCATTGCCTGGCTCAGCTCCCGGTCCCAGGAGACCTGTGACCATGGGGCTGTGCACCTTGGCCTCCTGCTCCTTCGGGCCAAATCTTTTCTGAAGGTGGCTGGGAAGCTCGGTACGGGGCCAAACCCCAGCTCTCGCTTGGCTGTCCCACCCCAGCACCGCTGGCTCCACTGCACGCGCTGCTGCTCCCCTCAACCCGCTGCAGAGAAAGAGAGAGCCAGGGATGACAAACACAGGGACGAGCCAGCCGGGAGGCAGCTGTATTTCATCAGCAAAGCCATCATCCTTGCCCTCCCCTTGCCGCCTGTGCCTGGCAGAGGTGGGCAGGCTGGTGTAAGCCAGCATGAGGTCAGGCAAGGATGCTCCCCAAGGAGCAATGGGCTGGTGCCCAAGCCCCAGGGGTGGAGGGTTCACTTTGCTTAGCCAAAGACCACCCCATCCCATCCCAGCTAGTGGTGTAGGGGCCAAACTGGAGGAGGACACAGGTCCTAAGATCAGGCCCACTCACAGGGGAGCTGGAGACAGGTCATTTTAGGGGATTTTGCTGGACTTCCCTCGCTTTGGCAGGGAAGGATAAAGGTTGAGCAGCACCTTCTCACCCTGTTGTCTTCCTGTCTCTCTCTTTCTCTCTACCAGGTTGTTGCTGAGACCCTGGTGAGTGCCTGCCCTTTCGCTCCTCAGCCTTCCATGTGTTTGAGGGGACGCTGGGGTCCTTGGGTGCAGGGTTGGGACTGGGAGGAGCAGCCCTGTGTGCTGGGAATCCTTTGACTGTGCAGGCTTTGCTTGCTTGCTTGGGGGTCCAGGGTCCTTGCATGAGGATGGGGTGGCAAGGGGGACAGATGGGACCTGCATGGGGGCATTTCCCTGCAGCGCTGAGCAGGACAGAGCCCTTGGGAGGGCTGGGGACCAATCCTGCCCACTGCCTGCATGCAGGATCCGTGCTCCTGGCAGTGTGGGACTCTGGGCTGGCTTCCCTGGCTCACTGAAAGTAGGATTTGGGGAAGGGGTGACTTTCTACTGCCCCAGCCTAACAGGCATGAGGGATACAGCTGCCCCACAGCAGGGCTGGCAGCCTCTTCACTTGTGGGCAGCACTGCTGCAGCCCAGGGTGGAAGGTGACTCCTGTGTCTGGCAGCTCTGAATTTCCTGTTCAATATTGGTCACCCTCAAAGCATCCTCCCCAAAGGACAAAAAAAAGTCTTAACCATGAGCATTGCAAAGTTTTTTTTTTCATAAAATCTGGAAAGCATCTTTTGTCAGAGGGAATGTGTGAGTCCAGCTGTCCATCTTCACACCCATGCATAGAAAATGTCTCTTTTTTGGCTAAAAAAAGCTATTTTCCTGCTCAGAAGAAGCCACTTTCTTTGCAAGAGGGTGTCCAGGCTGCCCCAAGAAGAGCTGTTTGACATCTTTGCCCCTCTCTGCTACACTCGTCCCCCTGTCCCCCTCTTCACTCTCTGTTGCTCTCCCAGAAACTTGCTGATGTCTCCAGCAATGACTCCAGTGACTCCCTGGAGACCCGCTTCCTCAGCATCCTCTGCACCCGCAGCTACCCCCACCTCCGCAGAGGTAGGACCATGTTTCTCCATCGCTGATGGACTCTCAGCTGTAACCCAAGTGCTTTGATTTGGGCTGGATGGGACTCCTGGGCTACAGGAGGTTGTGGTGGCCCTGTCTCCCCAGTGGTGGGAGGAAATGGCATTTGGGGTGGCTGGTTGAGGTCAGCCAAGCCTGCTCTGGTTCCATCTGGTCCAGAAGTTTCTGTGGTTGAAGCTTGGGTCTCCTGGGGCTGGGATGGAGTGGCTCAGCGCTGACCCTCTCCTCTCCTCCTTCTCCAGTGTTTCAGGAGTTCATCAAAATGACCAACCACGACGTGGAGCATGCCATCAGGAAGCGGATGTCGGGAGATGTGAGGGACGCGTTCCTGGCCATCGGTCAGTGCCTGGCGGGTGCTCCCTTGGGGCCAGGCTCCCTGGTGGGCAGGCAGCCCCTTCACCTGCCTCTGCCAAGGCAACGCGTCCTGCTGCCTTGGGGCCATGGAGACTCCCAGCATGGTGTGGGGTCAGGGCATTTATAGGGTGTCCTATGGGGCCAAGCCTGCACCTTCATACCAAGGAGGGCTTTGCAGGTGACCCAACGGGTGGCACAGCTCCTCACTGCGACGTGTCCCCTGGGTGTCACAAGCCAGGAACCCACTTTCTCTCCTCTCTGTTGCAGTCCGGAGTGTGAAGAACAAGCCAGCCTTCTTCGCTGACAAGCTCTACAAGTCCATGAAGGTGCAGATGGGCTCTCCTGGGGCTGGGCTGTGGGAGGGGGCTGTGGTGGGCAGACAACCTTTGGGACTCCCTGATTTAACCCCACAGCAGCAATGGGGTTTGGCCCTCAGCCATCCTCAATGGAGCAGGGCAGGGCTGAGCTCAAATACTGCATCAGCTTTCTAGGGTCAGCAGGGGACACGGCAGCTCGTGTTGTGCCAGCAGCAAGCTCAGCACATGTCCAAGGGGAGATCCACACCTTGGACTATGCTGGAGATGTCAGGAGGGTCCCTGAGCCCCAGTCCCTCCAGGATTATTTGTTCAAACTCCCTCTTGCAGGGTGCTGGCACGGATGAGAGGACCCTCACCCGGATCATGATTTCCCGGAGTGAGATCGACCTGTTGAACATCCGGGGCGAGTTCATAGACCTGTTCGACAAATCACTGCACCACATGATCGAGGTGAGGGGACATGGGTGTCCCTCCCTGGCTTGTCACCTTGTCTGGCTGAGCCCTGGCCATAAGCCCTGCAGGAACCTGAGCTGTGAGCACTGCTGTGAGCAGCACAGGGGCTGAGCATCGCCCAGGGAGGGGGAACCCACCCCAACCAGCCCCAATGTTGCCAGATCTGGCTGTAGAGGGGATGTGCCAACATCTTCCACTGCTGCACAGATGCCTGCAGGGTGGCCAGGACATGGAGCTACACCTTCCCCCATGCCCAGTACCTTCAACTGGGCTTCCCTGGGGCAGGCATCAGGGGGTGGTTCTCTGACACTGGTTTCCCTCTTGCAGAAGGACACCTCTGGTGACTACCGCAAGGCTCTGCTGGCCCTGTGTGGTGGGGAGGACTAGGTGGCCACGGAGGCCCCTTCTTCGTGTCTGAGCCAGCACGCACGCACCCACCGCCTTGATGTCACTGCAGCTTTGGGGGCTTCAGGGGACGCTCGGTCCCCACGGAGGACAACTCACTTTGTGCTGGAAAGCAGCACCACATTGCAATCGGGGGAGTCTCTGGGAGGGGAGCAGGAGGGTCTGGGTAGGGGGATTATTGTCTGTCTTGGTGCAAAATAAGTCATACCCAAATATGTCACTAACCCAGGAATTTACCCAGATGGAAAAGACAATTTTAAATCTCATGAATAAAACCTTACTGTCGCTGACCCTCGGGTGAGAGCAGTCGATGTATTGGGGGCAGGTTTGGGTGGGACTGAGCCCGTGCTGAGGATTCTTCTGAGGAGACCCTGAAGCACCTCTGAGGAGCACTGCAGGGTCCACTGCTACTGAGAAAGGGGCTGGAAATGCATCTGGGGCTGGCAGCAGCAGAGGGATTTCACTGAGACCTTCACTTTGTGCCTCTAAAACCCCCCCAGCTGGGTTCGTGCCGTTGTGTGGATGATGTTTTTATAAACCAGAGATACCAATCGGACTTGATGGCATCCATCCGTCCTTGCACGTGGTTTCCTGTGCTTTCAAGCTGCTGAAGAAGCAGTCGAAAGGCAAATGCCATAGAGGCTACACCCCCAAAACAGTTTATGTTTGCACTTCCCCCAGTGCCCAGGAGAAAAGAACTGGAATTTCCAAAAGTGGGAAATTCCAACACTTTCAATTGTTTCCAAGTCAGAACAAAAAGTCCTGAATGCCCGAGTCTTCCGCAGAACAGCTGGGTGAGGAAAGCTTCACCTTGAAAATATCAAAGCAGCATTAGGAATAACACCATAATATTATTACAACACTTCAAAACCAGCTGAGGTCAAGCAGCAGCAACATGTAGAGACAAACCAGGGAAGGTGAAACAACTCAACTGGGTGTTATCCCACTGAAAATTCCCTTGATGCTTTCCTGTAAAACATCCCCTTGTAACAAAATCACCTTTCTTGGGGGAAAACAGCCCGGCTGAAGCTTATTCACCCTCTCTCATAGGGATATGGGCTCCTCTGTCTTGCTCCTACCCCTGTGTGTAAGTAGCAATGGGCATCCCTGTCCTGGCAGCATCTGGGGGGCTGAACCCACCCACCCCACACCTACAGCAGCCTATGGATCACCTGCTTGGCCAGGAACCTGCTGCAAAGACTTTGAGCAGATGCAGAAGACACTTTGAAGGGAGGTTATAACCCTGATCTTCATCTGCCTGTCCCTTCCCGCAGCTCAGCACTGCAGCTCTCAGCTCCACGGTAGAGGCGTGAGGCTGCTGGAGAGCTGGGCATGGCACAGGGACTGCGGGGAGCAGAGTCCGTCAGGTCCCTGCAGCTGGGAACGGTGCTCTCAGGGACCTGGCTGCAACATCCAAAGAAGTTTTGGGGCTCAGGAAAGAGCCCAGCACCCCTGGGAGAGCTGGATTCAGGGCAGTGGAGCTCTGCTCAGTGTTAGCACAGGGCCACAACACATGAGCCATCATCCTGCCTCCTCCTGCTGCCAAAAGAGATGCTCCTGGGGTACGTACAGAGGTGCATTCCCTGGGCACAGGGGTAAAGACTCCAGTGAATTTTCTGGCTGTACCACAATTGCTGTAAGCCTGTGACTGGTGACTCTGTCACCCACAGCCTGGCTGCCTTGGCATGCCACAGGACTGCAAGTGAGACCAGGGGTTGGTCCCCAGCCTGGCTCGGGGTGATGATGCCACCAGGAAGCCCACTGACCCCAGCACACCAGTCCCAAGGCTGGGAATTTCCCAGGCACCTGCTGCTGGCTGCTTCTCCGATGAGGGTAAGACACCAGAGTCACACAGTGTTTGTGGACAGGGAGGGAGAGCGCGATGGGATTTCCTCCTGGGAGCAACTCCCTCTTTTGGAAAGTCCTGCTGGCCAAAAAGCCTTTCTCTTGCCCCAGCGCCATAGCAATCCTTCTCCAGCAGCAGTTGCTACAGCTGAAGCAGAAAACAGCCAGTGGCATTTTAATCACTGCAAACACTTAAGCACACCCAATACCATATTTAAGCACAGAATATTTTGGAATCCTGCACCCCATGTTGCTGGGGTTGGCAGCACACCTGGGGCTGCTCATGGTGGGATGCCCTACGAGGGAGAACCACAAAATGGACTGAGCTCAGCAGAGCTGCCCACCCTGAGGGCAATGCCAGGAGGGTGACAGCATCTTGCAAAGCACAAGGTGGCTTCTGGGACTCATTCAGCACCTGAGGCATTTTCTCCTCCTTTCTTACCCCAATGCTTTCTTGCAGAGGTTGATGAATTTGCAGCCAGCTCCTGTTTGGAGATTTGCTCCAGTTTGGTGTCTTGCATCATGGTAAATGCATCTCCCACTGTCAAAAGAATTAAAATCCTGCTGCCTTCCCATGCTGGAGAGCCTGAGGGATCTGCACCAGGCCCCAAGAAATGAGCCACTCTGGTTAGAAGCAGCCGTGAGGAAGGAGGAGGCACTGGGCAGGGGTATTGCTTTAGAAGGACTCCAAGTGAACCAAGAGAAGCCTGGGGACTGGCAGCATCAAGTGGACCCTGGGACACAGAGAAGCACAGAGGAGTGGAAGAAACCCAGTAAGAAGGACAGAGAAGTGGCAGCCAGAAGGTTACACGTGACCTGTCACCTTGCCAAAGGATTTAGGACAGAGTGAGTGTAACCTGCAGTGAAACAAGGAACACTGAGACTAGAAATGGGAAAGAACGTGTTTGGTCTAAGCCAAGCCTGGGGAAGGAAGAACACTTGTTCTGTTTAATGCCCAAATCACTCACTAGCAGTTTGTGTTAACTGACAATAAATTAAATAAAAATTCCCCAAGTGAGGACGTTTTTGGTCCATGAAATGCCCTATACATGGGCAGGTGATGGACCCTTCAGACAAAGCAGCTTCATCCCTGTAGCACCTGAGTCTCTTGAGAAAAGGCACTTCACAGCAGTGCTCTCCAGGAACACCTCTGCTCCATCCACTGGCTCCAACCAGCCCAATCCGAGGGCAGCTGGTGGCAAATCTCACACCTTGCCTCTGCGACCAACAAGAAGGCAAGTGGTGCAAGGAAGGCAAGGGAAGGAAGACAAGGGGAGGACAAAATGATGGGCACAAAAAAAAAGGGAAGAATTAGAAAGGCTGCGAGCAGGGCAAGGGCTGGAGGTAGATCCGTGCTGGCCACCCAAGCTTCAGCTTTCAGGGCTGCCGCAGAGAAGCTGCTGCTGGGGTCTGGGATTTACACACCAGCGTGGGGCACACGGCTGTTCTGCACATTGACCAGCAATGATGGGGACAAGGACTGGCTTCCAGGCAAAGCAATGCCAGATTTCATGGGTTGCGACATCCAGAAAACCCCACGAGCCTGCGTTTGGTGTGCAGAGGGTCAGACCTCTCCCTCTGAGTCAGCTCCGGGGGCCACTGCGGATCCTTTTGACTACCAAACCCTGGGAGGAGCTGCATCTGGTGCAGAGACACACGAGATGTTGGTCTCAGTCCTTGGCCCAACACTGCAACATCAGCGAGCCACTTCCATCCCACCCACCATCCTCCCTTTTCCCTTGAGGGGGAGAAATCCAGCCTTGAGACTTCGGAGCTGGTGGAGGTGTCTTCTTCAGCTCTTCTTCCCAAGCCAAAGCAGGAAGAAGCAGCCTTGCCCCTCACATCCATGTGCTGCTCGCTGGGCAGCCTGTTGTCCATGGTGAGGTGAGGCTGGGGAAATGGTGAGCTCATCAGGGCTGCTCTCCCCACACCGTCATCCCTGGAGCTGGCTTTCCAGGACATGATGACAGTTGAGGAGCCCTTTTGTCAGGCATTGCAACCAGATGAGACATGGCCTGGTGAGAGAGGAAGAGGGGAAAATCCCCTCTGTGCCTGTTGTTGATCTTGCAAATGTGGACCCTGAATAATTCAAAGCTTAAGGCACGCAAGGAAATCCTTTGAGCGCTCCCAGGACCAGTTCCCACAGCTCTTGGTATATCCTCTGTGGGGCTGCAGCAGGTCCCACCACAACCCATCCCCTGCTGCCTGTGGAGGAGGGAAGAGGGGGATGGCGAGGCTGTGGAGGAAGGCAGGAGGTGGTGATCTCCTCCTGCAAAGCAGGTGACACTGACCTTGCCTCACACACCAGAGGCAGAGGGAGAAGGGAGTTCTCGTTCAGTGAGAGGGTAAACCCAGCAAAGTGAAAGCAGCCGGTGTCCCTGGAAAGCCAGGGTGTGACTCCGACCCCCCATGAAGGCAGGGTGCTGCGGGAGGTCTGGGGGAGCACAACCACTGCCCAGTGCCTCCCACCTCCATCCTTCTGCTGACCCCTCGCCTACCCTGACTCCTTCCACGCTTCCTCCTTCCCTTTCCCACCAGCCCACCCTCCCAACCTCCCTCCCCTGCCTCTCCCTCGCCCTCCATCCCGGAGCCCTCCCATCCTGCCAGGTTAATTTGAGTTCCTGATTTGCATAGGCAGCAGATCACAATGTTCTGGAAATCCCCTCCTGCGGCCGGAGCTTCCTCCCGGCTCTCACAGCGTCACTGGCTGTCTTCTGCTTCCCTTC